ACTCCTTGGTACAGTCCTGAATAAACGAAGCAGACTCCTATTTTTTTTTCCCACTTGAAGCCAAATCCAGGTTGAAAAGAGCCATCCTCCTGGTGGCTGCTGTGAGCCGGCAGGAGTCCAGTGGGGAACCCTGTAGAAAGTTGGCTGTGGCTTCCAAGCTGTGGTTTGGCACATATCCTCTCCAAGATCTCTGCCAAATATTCACTCCTTTTTAGTGTGTGTGGTTTTTTTTTTCTTTCCTTTTCATGTTGGCATTTTATTTAGCTGTACCATATGAGTTTAAGGCTGTTAGTTTGATATAATTTGTCGCCAGAATGGACTGTTTTGTGTGGGGTTCTTTGATGGAAGATAAAAATATGAAGTGCATGTAAAAGCTGAACAAATTGCATTGGGAGGAGGTTGTAGTAAAGGTAACATGAAGCAGTAGCAATGATATTGGGTCTGGTTTGTGTATCTGTCTTGTGTGGGAATTTCACATCACCTCTGCATGCCTAGTCAAAGTGATCCTTGGTTCTCATTGGAAAAGTGGGAGAGAGGGGAGAAACATGGACACCCCACAAAATTTCTGATCCTTTCCCAGGATGCATTAAAACACAAGCTCTCCACAGCTGGGCTTGGTGAGTGCAGTGAGGAGTCCAGGGTGATACTCCAGCACTTCCCTACATTTTCTTGTTCAAGGGAGTCTGGGATTCCAGAGTGAGCCCTTTGCTGAGCTGAGCACTGACTGGGGAGTTGCGTCAGATGCGGCAGCATTGTTCTGGATCAGCCTGACCTCTTTTTAAAAAATACGCATTTTTCCAACACTAATAGAAACCTTAGCTGAGGTTGTCTCCCTTTCTGTGTGTGTGCCTGAGCACTAAATTAAAAAAAAAAATAATCCCAGATGTGAATCTATAAACCATCTGTTTAAAATAACTATTGTGCAGGACTATAATTAAAAGTTATTTATTATGAATCTTGGGATCCTATTATGGATTTGACTGACTCCCAGCTTTCTGACTTAGCAAACGGTTTATGTATTTATGGGCCATGTGTCTCTTCCGCACTTCTTGGTGCCAGAGTGCATGTCCTTTAAAAAGAAGGGAAAAAAATCCCCTACCCTCCCATAACTGTTGGCTTCTGACTGTTGCCGTCTAAGAAGTTTTCTCTTAAGAACAGCAAAATTCAAAGTATCTGAGAGCTTTCAACAGATTCAGAGACACTGTTGACGGCCCAGATGGAGGCTTGGTAATACAGCTCTCCTGCATGCAGCTACTTAGAGACTTTCTAAATGTATGGCTGGGACAAGTAATGAAATGTTATGATTACTGGGGGTAGGAGGGGACATAACTGGAAGGAAAGGATTTGTTGCTTAAGTCCCATTTGCTCTCAACCTCCACTTTGCCCTTGTGAAATGGGAGGGGAGGAGGCAACAAAACTGAAACAAGCAGATGGACAGTAGACATTAAGAGCAGTGTTTTGGGCAACTGGGTGAAGGGAAAAAATCCAGCCTCCAGATGACAATTACTCTTTTGTTTTATTTTTGTACTTTTACACCCAGTGGACCCAGGAGATCTGCACTGGATAATGCCTGACTGCAATAGACTAAACAATGATTTACCAGCCTTGCTTTATCTGCTGCAGGCCTGTGATGGATCAGCATGGTACATTAACCCTTTCCTCCACATCTGCTGACCTTGTTTTCCACAAGATACAACACTGAGATAAAACAGCAGGACTTTCTAAAAAGAATTTTGGGAAAATAGTAATAATAGTAGTAGAAGCAGTAGGAGGGTGCACTTCCCTGGAGCTACATTAATCTCTTCTCACTGCAAGAGGGATTTTGCCATGAGGACAATGCCAGGGCAGCAATATGTTGCAATTGTGGCTCTACTATAAGTTTTTTTCAGCAAAAGACCCCACAAGGAGTGGTGGGGCTGCAACCCTGAGCAATGCTATACCTCACAGCCTGGAAGAGCAGCCTGGCCCCGATGGCAGGGAGTTAGGCAGCTTGGGATGACATCTGAAAGAGCCTGTTTTGGGGCCATCTGGGCCTTGCCTATAACCAGCTAGGGAGGATGAACACCAGCTTTGCAAATCCTACCCTGTTTTAGTGCTTAGCTGTTCTTCTCTTTTGTGCTGGCAAAGATTGCCTATTGGCGCTATTTACCTAGGATACATGGAGGTGTCCTTTAAGACAGGAGAAGCTTGCAACTTCTCCTCCAAGGGACAGAGCTAACCTTCCATTTTAATTTGGGGAAAAAACCCCAAAACAAGCAATAAAAAAAACCCAAGAAAAAAAAAGCGCAGTGGGTGATGAGAATGGCACCTCCTCCCTACCTTTCAGCACCGTGCTGTAATAACTGAGCTTTGAGTCAGTGATCCAGGTTTGCTGCCCTCCACATCCAGAGGCAATTCAATGACTCATCTCCTGCTTTCCCCACAAGTGCCCTCGCTGTAAGAACCAGTGACTTGTGGGGGCACGAAGCCCAAGCCACTTTCTGCTGAAGCCAGGCCACTGAACAGCAAATAGTTCAAATTCTACTGAGATAGAGAAAGGAAATGTGAATCTGTAGCCTACTGCTTAAGACATCCTCCTGGAGGGAAGGACCCTTCAGGTCCTGTCACTGCACTGTGGGCTGCTAATATTCTTCATGTGGGACAGCTGCTTAATGTAAAACAGCCCTTGGCATCAGCACATGAATTCCAAAATCTTCCCTCCCAGAAAACCTGCTAAACCAGCAGCTTTGCTGGTGATAAGGAAAGAAGAGCAAGACCCAAATTTGGCTGGCCCCCTGGGGTGGCTCAATGATACCAAGCTCATAATTGGAGAGGATTTTTCTGGTTTTAGCAATATGGGGAAACAGGCGGCTTCTACTGGGAATGATAACTAGCAAGTATCTCGTGTTTGAAATATGTGTGTTGGGGTCATCCTTCGGAACTCCTTGCATTGCCAACAAGAAGAAACCATGTCAGGATGTACCTGAGGGCAGAAGGAGGCAGACAGCACTCAGGGAAGAAATTGCTTGGGAAGCTGGGCTGCGTAAGGAATTTGCCCCAGGAGTCTTCTGGGAACCAGGGAATTAAAAAAAAACCAAAAAAACCCAACCCCCCCCCGCCCAGGGCTCTGTTATTTTTTTGTCTCTCTTGCTGCCATCTGCAATAATAATGTCATCCTTTGAAGAGGGAGTCCAATGGGTAGCTGCTCACTGGCCCCCTTACCCACACCCAGCGCAGCCAGGTTGGTTCTGAAGGGCACCTCACTTCTCTCAGAGGTGCACAATGCATGCTGCAGCTGGCTGAACCATGTTCTCCACAGGAACAAACTCTAAACTGGGTTTTGCTCCTCCTTCACACCCACTTTCACCAGGCAGAAGAATTTCCCATAGATAAAGGTAGTGAGGCTGATAGGCTTATTACATCTTTCCTTAAGCAAAGTCAATTAGAGAGAATCAGATTCCCTCAGAAACCCTTTAAAATGCAGACTGTAGTTGAGGTGGTAAGCTGGATTCTGCTGCCCTTCAACAGAGTTTACGGGGGCACCATGTTCCTGCAAAGGGAATCAAGATTCCACTGAGCACTTTAAAAGAGAATTGAACCACTTGCAGTTTCTGTGTCGTGGCTGCTTTGTGCCAGTCCAGAGCTACAGACCAGCCATAAATTCAGTTTAACCTGCTGGTTAAATTGCATTTATGGTTGCTCTGCAGTGCTGGAGTGATGCAGAACAGCCAGCACTGCAGTGACCTGGCTTTTTACAGTAATTGTTTGTGTTGCTGCAGCTGCGCTTTAGGGCCTGATTCTCATTTGCTGATCTCACACTGTCTTGGTGAGAGTCCTAATTTACACTGATAAGACTGAAGTGCCTTTATAGCTCCCATCAGATCAGGCAGTGACTTTGAAGTAAACAAACCTCTGATTTTAGACAAAGGGCTGGAGTGTAATAAAAGCTGCGTGTTATTCTTCACAGGCACCTTGAATAAGGCCACAGAGAGCGAAATAAAAAGACTGGAAAGCACAGCTTCTTTTTCTTTAGTTTTATGATTTACATTTTTCTAGCCCTTTGATTTTTTGGTCTCTAATTAAGTAATAAGGTTGGGTGAGGTGGGTACTTGCATGTACTAGATGGCCACCTGTGTCACCTAATGAACTGAGCTACTAATTATAGGTGGAGGTAATTTCAGAGGGCTACTTTAAGTAAGGAATTTGAAGTAGCAAAATTTTACTAAAAGAAACACCCCAAGTATTTGTTTTCTGCACCTATTTAATGGCAGGGATAACCAAAAGAGTTGACACCGCTGGGGCAAGGTAGGCAATAAGTGGAATATTTCTGCTGCCTGCTGTTGCACATCCTCTATTGACATTCCTTAATGTGGTCAATGTGCTCTTTGGCCTTGGGAAATCACTGGCTTTTTGCCATAGCACGATGACACTATAATGTACACTGATTCTGTCTGCTCGTGGTGTGTCATCGATTCTCAGCATTTTGGGGAGAAAGATGAATGACATTAATCATCTTGCCTGGTATAGTACACAGTAGCCTCTTTCAAAGAACCTCTAGGCAAAATTGATTTTCTGCAGTGGCAGAATTTTGTTTTCTCTGCAGTTACTGCCTTTTTCTCTGCTGTTTGTCGTTCTGTCACACCGATTCCTAAGCTGCACAGTTCATGGGGCAGCTCCTCAAAACCCTGAGGATATTTTAACAAGCACATCATGTGGTAGTTGTTCATTTAAGTAACATGGATTTCTTCAGTGCTGCGCATTTTCTGTACGACACTGGGCAGCAGTTATGAATTACTGTCTAAGTGGGTTTTAAACACCGTTTACTTGGGCTCCTGGATTACTCAAAGACTGTTTTGTACTGTTTTCCTCCAAGAGAAGAAAGATGTGTTGACTCACAAGGACCTCTTCTGAAGCAAAAGGGCAGGCTGCTGGCCCCACACTTTATTTTCTGAATTGCAAGAAATGGTAGCCTTGGGTTTGTTTTGCTTGCAATAGCTTTTGTCTTTTTTTTTTTTTTTCAGAATAAGGAAGTGACGTGCAAAAGGGAGAAGTGTCCAGTGCTCTCCAAGGACTGTGCTCTCGTCATTAAGCAGAGAGGAGCTTGCTGTGAGCGTTGCAAAGGTGCCATTCCCTTCCTGTTGCTTTCCCTCCTTTTAAACAGTTATCAGTGCACATTTAGGTTGCCAAATATAGGAGTAAATTTGCAGCTTCTCAGCTGGGACTTGGCTGTCACCAGAGAGTGAAAGAGGGCAGTAACCATAATTGAAATACATATGTTTACAAAGCTGAGGGAAATACATAAATTCACATATTTGTCCTGCAATTATTAGTCCTTGCACAGCAACTGTCCTTTAGAAATACATCTTTATTCTTTATTGCTGTGTCGTCAATTTTTTAAGAGTTCTATTTTTATCAGAAATATTTTAGGTCAGCATCAGTCTGCTAGTAGTCACTGGTCAGTACGAATCTCTTTAATTTTTTATGTGGTTGGACAAAACAAGAATAATACTTCTGATTAATAAAGAGCAGGGTAATTATCCATGGCTATTCCTATTTCTCCCCTTGAAAGGAAACAAACCAAGCAAATTTTACCCATTTTATTAAACATTTCCTGATTCAAGCAATAATATTGTGGACATTTTTTATGAAAGCCAAATAAGCAGCATTCTGAACATTATACATTTATTTATTGACCAACATTGTATATTCCAAGCTGTTTAAAATGAGATAATGATCAAATAATAATAAAAAAGTGTAAGCATGCATGGCATGTATCTGCTATATTTAACCACATGAAAAATATGCAAGCAGATGAAGTTGAAAAGTAATCTTTTTTTTTTTTTATATTGATACAGTAAGTAATATGCTCTAAACCAATAATTTTGCTGAGGGACTGCTTCCATAATCAACGAGGTGGAAAATGCCAAATTCAAGCAGCTTTATTTTATTTTTCCTCTGTCATTTTTAATTCTCCACTGATGACTGTGTGGGATTGAGAGGGAGATAGGGTAGGATAAATTGTTGGGAAATAAAAGCATTTCTTGCCTTCCCAGAGGAAATACAAATTCAGGAAAGCAGATTACAATGAAATTTAGATGGAAGAGGCATAATGGATGTGTATTTTTCCTGGAAGGTTGCAGAGGTATGTTAGATGCTGTGCTGATGATTTGCTTCTGTGCTGCAGTTTTTGAAGGTTTGGCAAGCCCCAGTTCAAGGATTTGTCTAGAAACATGACACTTAAAAGAGAAGGAAATGAACTGGAAAAAAAAATTAAACCATTACTGAAACAATAAGAATTTGAAATTACAGATTTTACATAAATTACATGTAATTTATTTATTTTGTCAAACCTTGTTTAGTATCAGCTTTGTAGGAAAAGGTTGCTAAGTGTCGGTTGGATTAAGATGGAGTTTGATTTTTCAGTTTCAAAATGGGATGTATATTTGCTCAATGGGCTGAAAATTCTATACACATATATATATGCATATGTACATGCTTGCAAAATGAAAAGAATGAATGTTTCAAAGCTGAACAAACAATGCTTTAATTCAAACACTATTTTAATTCAGACTCCTTTTAACATTTTCTGTTTATCCTGAATTGGGGTGAGTACCTACAGAACATTATTGATAGGCTTGAGCCTGCCATCTGCAGATTGGTATGCTTGACATCTCTAATGGATAATTAATAGAAACTATTCATAAACAGAAACAGGAGGCACATGGATATTTGAGATGGAAGAGAGGTGAGTTAGCTAGAGTCCTTTGAATGTGTCAACGGACAGAGAGATCCCACTAAGAGGCATCCAACAATTTCCCTCACAAGGAAACTGCTGAAGAAACTAAGCAGCCCTGAGTTTTTAGAGGTATTCTTCTCATCAGCAAAGAAGTAATTAATGTATGGTTGTTTTCTTAGTAAATAAATGTTGGCAACATATCCTTGCAAATATTTCAATTTGCCAAAATGCTCAGAAATGACCTAGGAAAGGGGTGAAGAGAGACAGGAAGTTTGCTGCTGGTGCCCTGATCTCTGTAGTGTAGTAAAGCAAGAGGACAGCCTGTGAGGAGCTGCCAAAGGTTCTCAGGGCACTGAACAACTGATGACAAAGCAACAAAGGAAGTTAAGTGGATGGGAATAAATGGATGCCCAGAGGACAGAACAGTCCTAACTTTACAAATACAATACTGGGCTCTGAGTTGACAATAACTGAATGGTTACTGTTTCTGAGTGTTATAGAAGATACTTCTGTGGCACAATCAACTCAACCTTCAGCAGTTCTCCAGGGAGAAAATTGAATGCTGAGTTTGTTAGGAAAGGAGCAAGGTACAAACCAAAATGCCCTATTTTGCCTCTAAATCAGACAGGCTGCTTATTCCTGCCCTTCTGGAGCTATGGACCTTGGTCTGTATTTTTCACACTTCCCAAGGTGTCTCTTAGTAGCTGCTATCAGACAGAAGATTATTGACAAGAAGGGAACTTGGTCTGATCTAAGATAGCAGTTTCTATTTGCTTAAAATGCAAGAACATTAAATTTAATAATTCAAAGGAAAAAAAAAGCTGTCAAAGACTGAATTTTCAAAGTAGATGTGAAATTTCTGAGTAAGTTTTGCTGCACTTTCTGAAAGGCAAAGCAAAATATACACCCATTTAACTCCTACAGTCTTGACACCACACTCTGTCCCAGGTTGTTCTGGATCCAGGGGAAGAGGCTGATGGAATCACCTCTACTCCAGGGGAGACTGCTTGCTCTCCCACCACTCTGAACGCTGCTGAAGATCCTGCTCTGTTCTGTGCCAGGTCTAAAATGAGTGGCGGGTAACTGGGGGATGAAGGCTGCAAACACCAGGCTGGCAGTGTAGTGCTTCAGCTTCTCCCTTTGGTGTCCCAGCAGCTCCCCGGCACTCCCCACATGAAGCTCAGCTGCAGCAGGGACTTGGCCCTGCAGCACTTATTCTCAGTTACTATTTTGTCAAGCTGCCAGAGTGCCCATGGGGAATGCAAGCGGGAAAAGGGAAACAGGGATTTTTTTTTTTTAATAGTTGCATCTCATCTAAACATGAACAAACTGTTACCAAGGAAAGACATCAGAACCTGATGATTTTTTTTCTTGGCTTTGTTCCCAAAGCCTGGGAGAGCTTAATCAAGCCTTACAGGCTCTTGCCAGCTCTCTTTGATAGCTTCACATTTTCCTACCTTGTGAAGAGATGAATGAATGAGTGAGTGAATGAATGAATGAATGGTTGCTGTCATCTGAGTGCAACATCAGTAGGATAACATTAAGACCAAAGGGCATATTCCACAGTGGGCTTGTGTAGGAAGGAAACCACCACTCATGAGTCATTTGTGACATCTTTGCCAGTGCATTTTATTCTATCATGAGGAGCACGAGGATTTTCCCTGCCCATTGCAGGCGGGGTTGGACTAAATGACCTTTAAAGTTCCCTTGCAACCCAAACTATTCTGATGGTACCTTCAGCAGTGTACACATCTGAACTCTCCTGTTCAGACCTTTGCATACAGGAGGAACGTAATTGTTGGTAGAGAACTTTTCCTGCAAATGGTTGTGTGCTGAGCATAAGTCCCTTGTTTCCATATGGGTATTTGTATGCTACTTAATTTATAGCACTTCTTTTTTTCATATTTTGCAATAAACAGAGAAAGTAAGGAGCAGCTACTAGTACAGCTTTTGCAATCAGAAAATTCACTGTGCTGGAAAGTAGCATATGAAAAGGTTTGGCTTTACTTTGTCACAGAATCACAGAATATCCTGAGTTGGAAGAATCCCTTAAGGATCATCAAATTCTGACTCCAGGCCCTGCACAGGATAAGAATGTGCCTGAGAACATTGTCCAAATGCTTCTTGAACTCTGTCAGGCTTAGTGCTGTGACCACTTCCCTGGGGAGCCTGTTGCAGTTCCCAACCACCCTCTGGGTAAAGAGCCTTTCCCTAATATCCCGGAACCTCCCTGACACAGCCTCATTCCCTCAGGTCCTGTCACTGGTCACCACAGAGAAGAGAGCTGTGCCTGCCCCCCCTGGCCCTCTGCTTCCACTTGTGAGGAAATTGTAGGCTGCAATGAGGTCTAAGATCTAAACTGGGATTTAAGATTTAAATTCTCCAGACTAGCCATGTGTTTTAACACTGCTCTTGACTTTCGGCCCATAGGACCTTGATTTTAAAGTTGGTGGAGCAAAGCTCACTTTTGCTGTGTGTTTGTGAAAAGTCTGGCACAGAGAAATGTAGGCCCATGATTATGGCTCCCTGCTGCAAGGAGAATGCAGGCAACTCAGTCTAATAGGAAACGTTTTCAGTAAGATTATTCTTTTTGACAGATATTTACTGTAGTTTGTAAAACATACCACATACCTCTAGCATGCTATTCATCTTGAAAATACTAAAAAATTAAGCCCTCTTATTACTTTTGCATAGGATAAATAGGCCCCTTTTCATCTCTCATTTTCCTTAATATATTTAATGAAAGCCTATGAGGTCACTGAGATTATAGAAAGAGATTTGGCAGCATTGTCTTGTTTAGTTGGATGGAGACCTGTCACTTACATATAGAGTTCTCTACACATAGACTAGTAAGTTATTTGCACTCTGAAGAAGTGGTATTACTGGCTCAGAACTGCATAAAGTTTGCATTTCTGAAATTGTGTGCCATATTCTGCTCTCTTATCTTAAGAATCTTAATCCTCTATGGATGTGCAAAGACAAAGTTGGTGGGAATTTTTTAACAACAAAGAAAATATGTTCAGAATTTTCTTTCACTTCCCATGTGCAATTTTGCATTTTCTGTCCTTGTTAACTTTTGAGAATTACTTGGGTTGTTTTTGTTGTGGTTGTTTTTTTGGTTTTTTTAAAAATAATTTATTATTGATCTTAGAAATTCTTGTGTTATGCTCCATTGATATGGAATCTATCAGAGAATGGAATCCCAGCCCAGGCAACAACAGTGCCACGTCTACTAAATATTGAATATCCAAGGGTATCATAGTTAATTGTGCATTTCTTGGAAAGGATATCAAATACTATGGTTGAGGATTGCAGCCAATTTCAACTATTAGGGCTGGCTTGCAAAGGAAGTTAGAGGGAGGTTGTGAGATTATCAGTGTTCTGG